GGACGAGGTGCGTTCCAATGAGTCTTCCTAACAATATGACCATGTTGCGAAAACAAGGTAAAACAACCTTGAAGCAAACGTATGTTTGCTATAGCAATCGACGACGTTACTTATATTCGTAATTGAGTAGGGTTTCGAGACTGGCACTAGAAAACCACGTATTTGTAAAACTTACTCATTCCACCAAGTAAGTGTCTTGATCAGTACTACGTCTTCAGGAAGATCGGCCACTTCAACGCCATGGGACATGTGCTCATTTAATAATACGGCTTCTCCACCGCTAAAAATACGCTCCCTACCTCTTCCTCTAGAGTTGGAAACATTTATGCCTTCTGTTGCAGCACCTAAGCCGAAGGACAGACCAGATAAATCAATGCAATAGTTGGTCACATCCTCTGGCAAATGACTGGAATATAGACGATCTTGTTTAAGCCAACGACAATCTAGAACAGGAATTAAAAAAGGTTATAATGGAAAGGTAAAATAAGAGCTAAAAAATAGTTTTGCAAAGTGAAGACAAAGAAAAAACCATATGAACTTGAGTTATCTGAGCCAAATAACAAGTTTCGGACTACCATAAGCAAAGTTGTCTGAATCTGCTTCCAGTTGAAGATTGTACCAACTTAATGAAAACTGATGATCGAATGATTAATCCAGGTTAATTTTAAAACTTCTTAAGTTTGATGCTTTGCAAAAAGTCACATAATCAATAGTCCCTTGTTAAATTTAGGGAGAAATAGCGCCTAAAAATAGTGGTAGGAGGGCCGCAAAACTTTTCCAAAGAAGAAAATATGTTCAATTCAGAAATGAGAAACATCTTGATCAAACAGATAGGGTAATGAATAGAAAAGAATAAACTAACTTTTTGGGCGCCATTTTGTCAGACCCTTTAAAAGGCCTGTTAGCCCGCTGGGTAAGTACAGCTTTTCTACACTTTTCTCATCCGCTTCAAATACCCCATTCACATCTGTTGACGAGCTACAAGGCCGAACCTTTCCCGATGCCGAAGTCACCGTTCGCTCAGATACATTTCCACTGGGAGACAAAAAGAGAAGTAAGACTGCATACATGGCTGTGGAAAGGAGACGATTTACAAGGTACATCTTTTGACGAATCGGAAGATGTAGGGGACTTTTCGAATATACCAAATTCTTAGCTGATGGGTTTTTGAGTTGGACGTTGGATCCTTCAAAGATTGAGTTGTTCGCACATTGCTCGACTACATCGAGAAGTCGATAAAGCGCTGCCTTGAAAAAAAAAATAAGCGAAAAGTGAAGGACATTTTACTTTCCAAATAGAATAGGATTTTTTTCTGAGTGGAGCTGTCTTTTTGGCCTTAAATGTAATTTACAAAGTTGACTTCATATTACTATCTTCTGAGATTGGAGCCGTTAATTATAAGGCAATGATTCACATGATCAGACTTCATAGATCTGAGGCTTCATAGGGAGAGGTTCTAAAAAGTGGCATATTAATGGATATAAACAATAAAAGTAGAAGGAAAGTAAGAGCTGGAAGCAATGAGAAAAAACCACAAAAGTCAGTTTCGCGATAACGTAAATATTCACATGCACAGGATAAGCTATGCAGATATACTTAGAGAATAAGGGGAAAAGGAGAGAATGAAAATTTAAATAAGGAATGATTTATTAGGAACTAGGTCTCGCCATTATCTAATGATCTACTTGTCAGGAACAGGCTGATAAAATTATATGTCATCACAGCCTATTCGGTGATGGAAAAACAGTCAGCTAGCTTTGAATCGAAGATGAAAGATGAATATATAAAATGAGTTATCTAATATATGAGAGAAACACAGGTATAAATACTGAAATACTCTTGACTCTTGTAACCAGAGCCAAGCCTTTATAGGAGATTTAAGCTACAGAAATGGAAAAAGATAGCTAGTTCCTATTAATGAAATAATATATTGAGGTTAGGGCCAGTAAAATAAAAATCTTATGAATCGAGGATGAAAAATTAAAAAAAATATTGCAGTTTATTGTATTTAAAACAAAAACCTGAATGAAGTTGGTTAATAATGTAATGGTGGAGACAAGGCAATTGTTTGGACAAAAAAGAAGAAATTATCATACTTAAAGGTAAAGAATATAATAATAATAATATATAATAAATAATTGTGAAATAATATATCAATCAAGCGATGTGTTTACTCCTAGATGAGACGATGATATAATTAATACTTAAAATTCAAGTCTAGGACATGAAACTATACAATCGTGGGAGTTTAAGCAAAAAATTGTTGAAGATTTTAAGACCAATATGGTGTGGGCCCGATATGGTCACAGTCTCATTACGATTTACAGAAGTGGGTTGACCTCGTTTTCGCAACTTGGTCTTGGTGTCATGACGACTTAGTAGAACACACATTATCCGAAGTCCTCTGCCATAGTAGTTATCATAATTTTGTTAATAATTATAAACCTGATTAATCTATAATGGCTCCTTAAGGCAAAATAAGTACCATACACTAAGGCGAAACAAGCATAACATCAAGTAAAAGTTGTTTGACCTTGTTTTCGCAACTTGGTCTTATTGGTTGGAAGACTTAGAGGAACGCACCAAGTCCAGGGTCCATTCTAAGCATCATCATTTTCAGAGTAGGACCGTGGACGTGGTACATTCCCAGATGTTTCGCCGGCATTGTCAGTGAGTCTCGCCATTCGTAGCACCATATTACAACTCGTCAAAGGGACAAGTGAAGCAGATCCTTTGACCAAATGTGTGCTAAACAGTTGTGGTATCTCCCTTCTGCCTTGGGCTATTCACATTTCCTATATCCTGCTATCATGTATTCCTTGTGACAATTTTACCGTGTTCATTTTTAATGTTGTATGGTGTGCTGCTTCGAGCGGCTGTCGTTATCACTTCCTTCACGCGACAGCGTGAATGAATGCTGTTCGAAGGAGCACTCCACACTACATTAAAAATAAGCACGGTAAAAATTGTGACAGTGAAGGCATGATAGGATATAGGAAATTTGAATATCCCAGGGCAGAAAAGTAGATAGCACAACTGTTTAGCACGCGTTTGGTCAAAGGATCGGCTTCACTTGTCTCTTTGACGAGTTGTAATATGGTGATACAAATGACGATACTCACTGACGATGCCGGCGAAACGTCTGGGAATGTACCACATCCACGGTCCGAATTTGGAAATAATTATGCATATAATGCACTCAGGGCAAGGTGTGTTCCTTTAAGTCTCCCTACCAATATGACCAAGTTGCGAAAACAAGGTCAAACAACCTCTATACAACGAAAGGGGACTGCGACCACACAAAAGGCCACACCATCTTGGTCTTCATACCTTCAAATAACATCAAGTAGTTTAGCTAATGTGAACCCTGAGGCCGAAGTTGTTTCAAATATCGTAATGATAATGTGTATGGATATTAGATCACTATCTAAAAAAACCTTTTTGATCGCTCACTCATCTGCTGGCTCAACAAAGGTATGATGATTATTATATATCAGATGAGGGTTCAGAAACAATAAGGAAAGCCTGTATAAAAAATAGAGTAAAACTAGACAGCTTATGGTAATGTACGGACTGATAGTTTTATTTCCCACAAGTCATTTCAATGAATCCATAAGTCAAATGGTATAAAAGGGGCAAAAGTAACTGCCACTAAATTGAACTTCTTTCGTACGAAGAGAGGATTTCTATTTCAACATGGTCTATTCCATTGATTCCCAAACTGTGCGCCGCGGCGCTCCGAGGAGCTGAGGCCTCTTTACAGGGGCGCCGCGAAATATGGTAAAAGCTTCAATTTGAGAAAATGTGCAGTGATTTGCAGGCTCATCCATCACACTAATTATAAAATATTAATTAAATGTTAATAAAGTATAAAAAATAATGAAGATACACGAGTTTTATTTATTTTAATCTCTTACTTACAAATAGTCATACTTAAGGTAGGGCGCCATGGAAAAATTTTAATTGAAAAAGGGCGCCGCGACTAGGAAAAGTTTGGGAGTCACTGGTATATTCGATTATAATTACTATAGAAATCACGCGGTTCAGACAGTAGATACTCAAGGTTTGACTAATAACCTGGAGCTGCAAAGCCTAAAGAACATATGGCTCTTATAGAACTATATTTGTCATAGGTGGCATGGACATATACATTAATTAATGTAGTTAAAACACGGTAATCTTTAATAACAAGTAGAAAGTAATCCGATACCTACGAATTACAACCAATATAAAATTAAGAAATAATGAGTAGGGAATAATTCAGTCATTAAGGATTAATGAAAGTGATTAGCAAACCTTTTGAAATGGAATGAGATATGATGGCCAAGATGGTATGCCTTTGGTATTGCAACAGACCGCATTAAATGTACGGAAGTATATGCGAAGAAAAGTTTGGTTTTGAGGAATTTCTTGTTTCATAATTTTGTAAATAATTCTAAGCTTGATTAATCTATAATGGCTCCTTAAGACTTACTTCCATTTCGAGTGAAAGTGTTTAGTGAAGATATTCGAAGGTCGACTCCACCAGAAGATGACGCCGGTTGGCTTTACTGGAACATTGATGGTGGCGCTGTTTTCGAGGTAATCTCCTTCGATTCCGGTGAAAAGGTACTAGGCTTTCGTCCATCACATGATGAACATCACCAGAGCAAGATATCATCGTTACAACTAAATTCAACCGGCAAATCCCTTAACAGCGGTATATATACTCTATATCTGCCTTTTTGATCAGGTATAAAGTAATTTGGTTAGTTACGGTCATATTTGAGCCTCAAGGCCTGTGAGTGTGTCTGTTTCTGTATGTTTATGTGCCTGTTTGTGTTCGCTTATATACGAAACCAGCAGAGCCATTAAGGTTTGATGACCACTATCTCCCCCTTTCTACATAATTATTGAGGAAGCAAATCTGAGGAAAAGCTCAATCTTAAGGCTTCTTAATCTATCTATGAGTAGCAAAAAAGGGAAGGATCCTACGGAGCAAGAGGGGACTCTGATAGGAACCGAAGAGATAGGATTGCGGATAAAGCGGCAGCCTTGGATCAAAACTACAGAGTGGGAGGGATGAGGAAACCAGAGGAGTGTGAATAGATTTTAAATAGGTCTATATAAACGAGTAAAAATTTTGATATTGAAGGGGTGATACGAGGATATAGGATAGGCAAATAGCCCAGGACAGAAGAAGAGATACTACAATTGTTTAGTACACATTTGGTCAAAATATCGACTTCAATTGTCTCTTTAACGAATTGTAGTGTGTTGGTATAAATGACAAGGCTCACTAAGGATGCCGGCGAAACGTCTGGGAATGTACCAAGTCCACGGTCTGACCCTGGAAATTATAATGCATACTATGGACCCAGGACAAGGTGCGCTCCTCTACGGCCTCCTGCCAATATGGCCAAGTTGCAAAAACGTCAAAGAACTTCTATTTCTATTTCAAAGCACATACACTGTTGCCTCACCGAGCAGACCACCTAAGCTCTGATTTTCATGCTTGTAGATATCAAGCATTGCCTTCCCGGCTCGTCTCCTTCATTAAACCTGTGTAAACTGAGCAAACTGTGGACGCCTATCTCTGGTCTTGGTCGCCTGCTGAATCTCAAGTGGATTTCTTGTCAAATAGGCCATAATGCTGAATTTCCGTGACAGTTGTGATTATGTGACTGCTCCCAAAGTGGTAGTTGCTTCTTCTTCATTACATTTTTCCCCAAGAATATCAATGGCCTCCGTAATCTTCTGTTTCCTTGTGTTGTAACTATATGAAGCCCTTCTTTCTGTTGCCTTCCAAACTATCTCGTATATGATCTTTTACGCCAACTGATCTTTCACTATCCATTTTCCTGCACTTCGTATGCTGATTTTTCTCCCCGTTTCGCCAGTATATTTCTGTTCACAGGCGCCGTATGCTATGCAGTAAACTCGCGAGCAATCCAATTTGTCAGCACTTTTATGCTGCGTGGATAGAATTATTAAGTGTTGTTTTCTTAGTGGTCACCTGAATATTCCATTTCTTTACTATTGGCTGTAATTTTTGAGTTAGTCCGCAGGAAGTTAGGCAAATCCACTTTTGGGGATCTTTCTTCGCCCTTATTGTTCTTTCGTAGTCACTGTTCTGCCATCTGCCTTGCACGGCCCGTATATTTCTCTGTATATATTCTCTTGGGTAACTGTCCCCGAGGGATATCCTAGTCAATTTTTCCAATTCTTCATCCCAGAATTTAGCATACGTTAATCCTAGGCTTCTGATGATCATGCTCCTCATTGTTTCTATATTTACTTCGTAGTTGTGATGAGACTGGAAATTAAGTATTATACCAGCATAGGACTTCTTACTGAACAATTTCCTCCCAAGCGTCTCATTAGAGCGAATCACTCCAACATCCAGGAAAGGTAACCGATCACCTTCCATTATTTCCATCGTGAATTTGATTCTTTCATCAATCTGATTTATGAATTTCAGAAACTCTTTCAGTTTTTCTCTGCCATTTGAACAATTGCGAAGTAGTCATCCAGGTACCGCATGAGCACTCCTTGTTGCTGCGGTGTCATCTTGAATTTCTTTTCTAATTTGCTCATGTATACGTCTGCCAAAAGAGGTGAGAGCGGCGATCCCATAGAACGTCCAAATAATTGTTCACAAATGTTTCCGTTGGATGTGAAATAGTTCATCACTATTGTTAAGTTGACTAATTGTGTTAAAGACTCTCTCCAGATCCTTCCCGCTTCCGGGATATACCCTTCTCGGTCAGAAATTTCCAGCAGAACATAGTTTTTTATCGAAATATATTTGTATACATGAATTATATATCAGAGCTTACCAATAATTATGGTTCTTTCAGTGCCATGTTCTAGATCCTTTGATAAAATTCATATGAATTTTTCACTGTGCCTGATAACCTGTCGTTTAATTTCATGATTTTCAAACATGAAATTTACCAATTTGTCTGTTACTCCATGCTTGTTTTTGACTTTCAGCCTTAGTGATTCACTTTCTTGGTGTATCTTCCGTAGCCCATAGGCTGTTGATGGACGTGCATCCTTTCTTATGATTAAAATTTTTTGTCCATGCATCAATTTCACCGTTCTTATGCATATTTCTCAGCATGTCAGATAAGGTTATATTGATTTTCATAATTGGATCCTTTACCACACGATACGTAGTCCTGTCTGTCAGTATACATTCTATCCTCTCGTTATATTGTTTTCTGTCCATTATCACTGTTTCTCCTCCTTTATCCGCCTGAAGAACGAATTGTTAATTCATTTCTATGGTCTTACGCATCCTAGCAAATATGTTACTATCCATTTGTTCCTGATGTTCCAACATCTTTGGAATTATTTCAATCTCCATTTACTGTTTTGTCTCCTCAGGGAGCTTGTCAGAAATATTGATAACCTCCACTAGGATGTCTTCTATAGGGCTTCTGATATTTTGAAGTCAAAAAGTGTCATCTCATAAGGATTGTGATGGTTTCCATATCAAGAGGAAAGGAGAATAAATTTACTACCTTATTCCGATCGTCGTACTGATCAGTAGATGGTGTTACGTCAGAAACAACTTCAACTGGGGGCATTGACTTTAAATAACGCTGCCTTGTAATCCAAAACCTAAGCAATTTAATGTTGTATCATTTTTTAAAAAAGTCAGAAAACCTACGTGATTTGTCTCTTTGACGAGTTTTAGGTTGCTGCTAAGAATGACAAGACTCACTGACAATGCCGGCTAAACATCTGAGAATGTACCAAGTTCACGGTCCGACGCGGAAAATGATTGTAACTAGAATAGCAGAGGAATTCGGACAAGGTGCCTTAAAATAAGTCGTTCTGAAAACATGATCAATTTGCAAAAACGAGATAAGTCCACTTCTATCCTATAGTTAAATCCTTTTTTCAACTCATTAGGATTTCCAAGAAGACATGAAAAAATGAACATTATTCTGCGTCCTTTCCTATCATATGGATCATACGATCTCCCAACATATGATCGTTGCCAAGGAAGAGTATGAGAATGCAAACAGTTGACAATTCAATAAAAGAAGAATAAATGACAAAAAATGTAGGTCCTTTCCGAAACACTGACTAAGCTAAGAAAGCCTGAAAAATGGTAGGAATCTATTATGGCCAAAAATAAATGACCCCTCTAAAAATTATCCTGCAAGTTTGAGGTAATATGTGCAAGAAATTCAGTATAAAATTTAATATGCAGAATACGAGGTCCAACTGGCAGATTTCAACATGGCTTATTTGAATACAATAAAATTATAAAATTCAAGCATAAATTGAATAAAGACCTACTGTCCTTCCTTTGAAAAATTCATCCAGGGCCTGTTCCATAGATAGCCTTTCCAGAAGCATAAGGGCCACGAGCGAATTACTTATATCCTGAAAATAAAATGAATTAGAGGCGATTTCCATGCACCTAATATCAAAGCCAAGATAAAATTGCATCATTTGTAAGTATTAGAATAATCCTCAGATATCGGCCTTGATAGGTTATTTATCAAGACCGCTTAGCCAAAATAATTTAATGTCTGGAAAACCCGATAACTATAATAATGCCAAGAATCTTGAAACTATATAGTATATATAAAACCACTCTGTAATAAGACATTTCTGAGATTAAGTGGAATCTCACATCAATACTGGCCGGAGGACATGCCAAGCGCTTCCTGCAGGCTGTAGACAAAGCAACCTCCATGTGGCCAAGAGTGATACATTGTCGTTTCACCAACAAATTGGCGTCCAGGTAGATGGGGAGATTTGGAAAATTGCCACAAGAGGTGTCTGATGCCCTTGATATCATGGGGAGTTGGTGATCCTGCACCCTCCCAAAGTCACATGACAGCTGAAAGCGGGTTGACAGGTGATGACCGAGAAAGAAGAAGAGCACAGCTTGTGTATGGTCTCCAGCATCCATAGAATTCCAAATCTGGGTTTCGGAGGAAAATATTTTAAATGCAGACAGGATTCAGCATTATATAAGCTCATATGTGAGCAGCTCATAGCAAGCAGTGTAATTAAATCGAGATTCAAAGGGTCACTTGTATATATCAGCTAAAGATATTTAAATAAGTTTCCTAGTATGTTATGCCTATGCCTGATAAACGAAGATAATCTAGTGAAAATGATAAAGGTCTGGATGCAGATAAAGGTAGAGCCTCTGAAATACTTAGTTAATATTTAATGTGACTAATAGGGTTTGCAAATGCAAAATGGTGATTACCAAATAATTATTGATAAATAAAAATTGCGCTCAAACTGGAGAAAAATGATAAAAACGAGATTTTTAAACGTTTCTGCCAGCCAACAACATATAGCAAGAGGGAAAAATTCCAGTTTTAACTTGATGTGCCAATTGTTTTAGCATTTTAAAGGTATATGCA